TTTGGTTATGTTGCTGGCGGAGGCTTACCTCCCTCCCCCAGCCCCGCAAGCCTCCCATGAACGACTGCCAAAGCTGCGCGCACTTCGGCATGGTCCTCTGGTCCCCGTTTCTGGGGGAGGGGCGAAGCTCGGGCTTCCCCCGCCCCAGCCCCCAACACCTGCGCAGGTGGGGAATAATTTTTTCCCCCTTCATATTTCCCCCCCCCCCCCGCCAATTTTTCTCCGCGGCACACCAGGACACTCATCTGGCGGCACACTAGTGTGCCCGGAACCACCGGTTCGGAAACACTGAAGTTAGGACTAACACCAATACATGTCTCTTATTCAGAGCACTGCAGCATGCTCAGGAATATTCTCAAGAAAAGAACTGAAATATATTTGACATTGCCATGTTAGTCTGCTTGCAGCAAAAAATAACAAAGATCCATGTCTGGCATCTTAAAAGACTACACTTGTTTTTGAGTTACCCACTGATATAATTGGGAAATTTATCACTGCCCTCGTTACTCTTTTGCATTTCCTCTATAGTCTCCATTTTGCCTTACGTGGACATGTTCCATACTGCACAACATTAATTTCAGAAGCTCACCTTTCAATAGTGCCAAGACTGATTAAATCGCTAAAACCTCTTCGAGAGCTAATTAGTTTATTACCATATCCCAACCTTTATCTTTTCAAGTAAAATGCAAACTATTCTAAGCACAAATTCAAGACACAGATATGGCCTGACTTAAGAATATGCAGTACAAATGCCTTGGCCAGGAGGATCCTTAAAACTATTTTTAACTATGTCATAGTTCTTGTTGGCCCAAATATCAATGCACGAAACATGACTCTACATACAAGCCCAAAAAGGTACCCTTTGTAACAGTAACAGGGCGGGGTGGAGTTCTTCGGTTTTAGCACCCTGGAGTCAAACCAATCTCTCTCTTCACCACTTTACAAAATTAATATATATACATAATGAAAGAATCTCAGCCAAGCATGTTTCCAATTGTCATCAAATACTGCCATCTGATGTTAAATCTTATGGTGCTTTTGCACCAATCTTTAAAGCCACCACCACATGAGGTCCTTAAATGTACATTCTCACAACAGTTTACATGCAGTAATCGTCACAAATGTGGATTTTTAAGCTATAACCTCTAGCCAACCCTGTTCTAATTTTTTATCTACATACGTTGCCTAAACAATAGTGATCACTATTAACAAGGTCGAGAATTCAACATGGTATAACATTAATGCTGTAACTGTTTTTAAAACACTTGTATGGAAGCCGCCCACAGTGATGTCGGGAGACAGCGGGATGGCGCGCTGCGCCTCTCCCGCTGTCCCCCGAGTTTGCAGGGCTGGCGATGGGGAGGAGCAGGCTTCTCCCCCCGCCAGCCTTCCAGCCAAGTCGGGGGCAGCGGCAAGGGCGCGCTGTGCCTCTCCCGCTGTCCCCCGAGTTTTGGCGGGGGGCTGGCGATGGGGAGGAGCAGGCTTCTCCCCCCGCCAGCCTTCCAGCCAAGTCGGGGGGCAGCGGCAAGGGCGCGCTGCGCCTCTCCCGCTGTCCCCCGAGTTTGCGGGGCTGGCGATGGGGAGGAGCAGGCTTCTCCCCCCGCCAGCCTTCCAGCCAAGTCGGGGGGCAGCGGCAAGGGCGCGCTGCGTTTCTCCGCTGTCCCCGGACGACTTTCAAAAGCCTGCCTTCAAAAGCCGTCCGGGACAGCGGAGAAACGCGCTGCCTTTCTCCGCTCTCCCGGGAAGGCAGGCAGGGGGGAGCAAAGACTTTCGCCCCCGCCCACCTTCAGAAGAGGTCCAGGACCTCTTCTGAAGGCGGGCGGGGGCGAAATCTTTGTCCCCCTGCCTGCCTTCCCAGGGGCTTTTAAATCGCCCCCGGACAGCGGAGAAGTCCCGGGCGATTTTAAAATGCCGCCCGCCAGCATTTTAAGATTGCCCCGGACAGCGGAGAAGTCCTCCGCTGTCCCGGGGTTTTTTAAAATGCTGGGGGTGGAAGAAAAGCCCTTGTCCCCCCCCAGCCTCAGAAGAGGTCGGGGGACAGACTGTCCCCGGACCTGGTCTGAAGGCGGTTTCCCTAGGAACGCATTAATTGATTTTCAATGCATTCCTATGGGAAACCGTGCATCGCAAGACGAAAAACTCGCAAGACGAAGAGACTTGCGGAACGAATTAATTTCGTCTTGCGAGGGCACCACTGTATCCGGAGAGGCGGCCTTCAGGCGAGTTTTTAATTTTAATTTTCCTTCCCCCACTTAATGCCCCATGCTCGCGCCCGAGCAGCTTGCAGTCCTTGGTAACCACGGCGACCCGAGGGAGGGGAGGGAACAGGGAAGTCGAGGGCGGCGGCGAGCCGCGATGATGTCAGTGGGCCGCGCCGCCTCGCCCTGGCACGGTGTGAGAGCCCCGGCTAGTGGTGCGAGCTTCAGAATAAGTGGGATCCGCGTGCGCGAGACCGAGATCGCGGGTAAGGAGCTCAGCCCTGGGCAGGAGGAAGCGGGGCCACGCGTGCGGGCCACATCCCCACAGAGAGCGAGCCTCCCCCGGCCCACCACTCCGGGCAGGTCCACTCGCATGAGGGGGCGGCGATGGCGACGGCCGGCAGCTTGCCTGCAATGCCATCCCTCGAGCAGGCGAGGAGCCCGGAGGCTACCAGATGCGAGTCCTCTTTCCCACCCTGCTCGGGAGTCCAGAGCACTTGGTCGCATTCAGGATCTAGAGTGGGGAAGCGGGGCTTGTGTCTGGGCTGGACACATTGGGCTGCCTGTGCCGCTCAACCTGCGGGGAGAAATCAGGGTGGGAGTCACGACCGTGAGGCAGGGCTGCCAAGTGTGGCAGAAGAGGACACGGCCGTCGCACCTGTCCTTAGGTAGGAGCTTCTTCCGTGTCGACCTGCTGCCCTAAAGTCTTGGCTTTTTTCTTGGCTTTTTTGGCGGTTGGCACAGAAGGAAGGCAAGGGGGAGGGGAAAAAATTGAAACTTACACTTTCGTGCGTCCCTCCCGGCGTGACGCTGCGCGCTGACGTCACGGGGCTGTAATGGTGGTGTGCCTCGAGATTTTTTTTCATGAAACAAGTGTGCCTTTGCCCAAAAAAGGTTGGGAAACACTGGTCTACTTGACTAAAAGGCACTCTATCTACTCAAGCTGGCTTGTATTATTCATGTCATTGTCTGTCCTTGTGGTTCTTGCTCTGCATGTTCTGTAGAGTTGCCAGAGAAGGGCTGTTATTTCAACACGTTTACATTATAGTTTCTGGCTGATTCTTGGCTGACGTTTGAGAGCTTTATGAGCACTAGCTAGTTTCAGACAATGAAAAGATAAATTTCTTCACCGAACTGTTCTGACAGCATTTGTGGGTAAATAATCAAACTGGCTCTGTGCAAAGTGCATGACATAGTGAAATGGTTGTGTTGCTGCTGCTCCATTTATTAACTGGTCCCCTTAATACACATATGCAGTGGTACCTTGGTTTAAGAACAGCTTAGTTTATGAACAACTTGGATTAAGAACGCCGCAAACCTGGAAGTAGGTGTTTTGGTTTGTGAACTTTGCCTTGGAATAAGAGCATGTTTTGCTTCCTGTTGAGTGTGTTCCATTTGTAAATTGAGTCCCCTGCAGCTAAGGGAAAGTACACCTTGGTTTAAGAACACTTTGGTTTAAGAACAGACTTCCGGAATGGATTAAGTTTTGTAACCAAGGTACCACTGTATTGTGCTACTGCTCAGCCTACTGTAAATGTAGGTGAGGATACCCATTTCACCAAGTGCAAGTTTGTTCATGGGTCCATTCATGGAGTAGCCAGGATTTTTGTTAGGGGGGCAGGCCTTTGTTGTGGGGGGGCAGCTATTTTGTTAGGAGGGGCAGAACCTCAGTTAGCAATGTACAGTACAACCTCAATTTACCACCACCCCTACTCACGAACAATCCGACTCACGACCACGGCGAACCCGGTAGTAAATACCGGGTTTGCTGCGATTCGCGCACGCGTAGAAACGACTTCTGCCAACTATACATGCGCAGAAGTGGCTGCCACCGTCTGCACATACGCAGAATGGCGCTGCCGCCGAATGAATGTGCATGCGTGGAATGGCGCTTCTCCCAGCAACCCGGATCGACTCACGAACAGACCTCTGGAACGGATTTTGTACGTGAGTAGAGGTTCCACTGTATTTTTATTGATTGGGAGGGGCAGCTGCTCCCCCCCCCCCCTTGGCTATGCCTATGGGTCCATTCTTGACACATCTGTTGCGTTGTGTGACTTGACTCTTTATCCTATGCCAATTGGGTAAAGGAATTGGTCTTTGTATCTCTTTGAACTTGCAATCAATTTATATTTTTTCCACTGAATTTCTCTATCTCCTTTTAAAAGAACTAGACCAAAAATTGTCTTGTCTCTTATTCATTGCTACTCAGTTTTGTGAAAATGTAATTTTACGTGCCACAGGAATCATTCAAAAGGTACCTTCTCACACTCCTGAATTAGCTCTGCAACATTCCCTAACTAAAGCAGGCATATAGCACTAGTATGACCCTATGTGTCTGAACTGTTGGAAGTGGAAATACAGCCATTATGAGCATCTGGATAATATAACCATTGCTTGACTGTGCCGTTACTGTAAACATCTTTAATCTATATGGCTCCCTTCCTTCAGTGAACAAATGGGATGTTAGGGCATTTCCATATGTACTAGATAACTATATCAGATCATAGCTGGAGTAGAAATCTTCATATTTACAGAAAGTAATGCATAGCTCAAAGCACGTGGCCAGCCTTTGAGAATGAGGAGTATATAGAAGAAGTCATTTAATTATATTTCCAGGTTGTTCTGAAATGGTAATTTTAGGGAGTGGGAGAGGTGGCACAATGGCATTCCTTTCTGTGAAAACTAGATAATTGTATATTCTGTTGAGAGAAAGAAATGATGCTCAGTCTCAATGTAGGTGTCTCCTTGATCCCACACCACACTACCAGTGGTCTGGTCGTTGAAGCTAACTACAATGCCAATCATCAATATGAAACTTTACAGGCTTCCATTCTTACAAATATTAAGTTGATATACTTTAATCTTTTTGTTCCGAAATGTAAATAATTATCAGTTATTTAATGCCACATTTTATTAACAGACTCTCCTGCTGCTGAAGAAGATGAAATGTTTGTTAGTGTATTTCACACGCAGATTCATCCAGAAAATTATGGGAATAATAGTAGACAAACCAAGCAAGGTACAGGTTATATCAGTTTACCTTTGTTCCATAGATTCAGTGACAATTCTGCCTTTTGCCTGGGGATACTGGTTTAGACATAATGGGTAACCATCTTGTCCTGTTACAAGAATGATCCTGCATGCATCTTAGACTCAAGTGCTCCCATCTCTTCTCTACTCTTTTGTAGGTATGAGGAGGTTAAGCATGTCACTTTTGCTTTTGAACAGAAGACAGTTTCCTGTTACGATGAACTAGGGGACCTGTGGTTGACAAACAAACCAGTTAGAGCTCTGGGTTGCAGATAGCAGCCTACCCGGATATGTAGTGCAGTTTGGATTTGTATCTCCTAAAGTTTTGGGGCAATTACTACATCATATTTGTAGTGCCTTTAACTACATTTCCTTCTGAATGATGAGGAAGGCAGTGCTATTAGAGTATTGAGTGCTTTGACAAAAAGGCAATGTTTAAAGAAGTAAATACAAATTTATAGCACATTCAGAAATATGTAGCATAATACAATTTTCAGGTTTGAATTAATCATAAGTGTTTTCTTGTTGTGGGAAGTACAGTATATTTGAAGTATAATGGCAGTCATTGTCCTGAGCAGATTTATGCTAAATGTAAAGGCAAAGGGACCCCTGGCAATTAAGTCCAGTTGTGAAGGCTGAGGGAGCCGGCGTTTGTCCACTTCCGCAGACAGTTTTTCTGAGTCATGTGGCCAGCATGACTAAACTGCTTCTGGCGAAACCAGAGCAGCGCACGGTTTATGCTAAAGGAAGGACTATTCAAATAATGGGAGTAACTTCAGGCATAGATAGGATGAGATGTGGTTCCCAAAGCGGTGGGATTACCAGTGGGGGCACTTAAGAGGCAAGGGGGTGGCAGGGGGCACTAGAGGTGTAAATGACTATCAGATAAATATAACTGGATCAAGTTCATTCGTTTTGTTGAATTGATTTTAAACTAAATAGTTTTAGTTGGGTTTTGCATAAACGTGCAATTAAATTGTTACTGTTTTGAATTTTATTGTGTTATCTTCCTTAGTAAGTTGTGCAAACAGCTATTCTAAGAAACCCTTTATAGGGTAGGATAGGAGGGGGCACTGGGGATAAGGGGGTGGTGGCCCCCAAAAGTTTGGGAACTACTGGATTAGGCTATAGTTAGTTGCTTGAAAATTCTGTGCATGGCTGTAACAAATGACTTTGCACTGAAATCCATCTAATTTTATTAGTCATATTTTTGAAAGGTTACTGAAATTAATATAGTCCGAAATGAATAATACTGAATTATATTTGTGTACTGTAGATAGTGAAATGGTAAATTGGATGAATTGATTGCTTTTTAACTATTAATTTGCCCAGTTATACTTTTAGAATTTTTTTTTTCTGAATTGCATGTTGTTTAGGTGACGATAAAACAAGAAGCTCAATAAAGAAAATGGAAAATATGACTAAGAAAAGTGAAACAACCAGTAAAAAAACTGATTTTGTTAAAAAGAACATAGAGGTATGTGTTAACAGTCTGCATGGCAAAGTACAGGATTAGAACTCTTTGTCAAGTCTCATCATGCTACTCATTTAGAAATTAATAATGGATGATTAACTTTGCTACAAAGGTTATCCTATATATAGCCTGCCTGAAGTTTTTAGGAAAAGGATGATAACTAGATTGCTGATCACTTCAGCTAAATCATGTATTGCTGCGAAAACATACTAGAATCTACTGAACTGGCATTTATAGAGCCCATGTTGTTTATTTTGTACTATCAGGCTTTTCTAATGCTATGCCTGTGGTTTTTTTCTGCTGTCAGGAAATGGAAAGAAGACTTATAATAATAATAATTTATTATTTGTACCCCACCCATCTGGCTGGGTTTCCCCAGCCACTCTGGGCGGCTTCCATAGAAACCAAAAATACACTAAAATATCACAGATTAAAAACTTCCCTGAACTTAAGATGTCTTCTGAATGTCAGGTAGTTATTTATCGCTTTGACATCTGATGGGAGGGCGTTCCACAGGGCGGGCGCCACTACCGAGAAGGCCCTCTGCCTGGTTCCCTGTAGCTTTGCTTCTCGCAATGAGGGAACCGCCAGAAGGCCCTCGGCGCTGGACCTCAGCGTCCGGGCAGAACGATGGGGGTGGAGATGCTCCTTCAGGTATACTGGGCCGAGGCCGTTTAGGGCTTTAAAGGTCAACACCAGCACTTTGAATTGTGCTCGGAAACGTACTGGGAGCCAATGTAGGTCTTTCAAGACCGGTGTTATGTGGTCTCGGCGGCCACCCCCAGTCACCAGTCTAGCTGCCGCATTCTGGATTAGTTGTAGTTTCCGAGTCACCTTCAAAGGTAGCCCCACATAGAGCGCATTGCAGTAGTCCAAGCAGGAGATAACTAGAGCATGCACCACTCTGGCGAGACAGTCCGTGGGCAGGTAGGGTCTCAGCCTGCGTACCAGGTGGAGTTGGTAGACAGCTGTCCTGGATACAGAATTGACCTGCGCCTCCATGGACAGCTGTGAGTCCAAAATGACTCCCAGGCTGCGCACCTGGTCCTTCAGGGGCACAGTTACCCTATTCAGGACCAGGGAGTCCTCCACACCAGCCCGCCCCCTGTCCCCCCAAAACAGTACTTCTGTCTTGTCAGGATTCAACTTCAATCCATTAGCCGCCATCCATCCTCCAACCGCCTCCAGGCACTCACACAGGACCTTCACTGTCTTCACTGGTTCTGATTTGAAAGAGAGGTAGAGCTGGGTATCATCTGCATATTGATGGACACCCAGTCCAAACCCCCTGATGATCCCTCCCAGCGGCTTCATATAGATGTTAAAAAGCTTGGGGGAGAGGACGGAACCCTGAGGCACCCCACAAGTGAGGGCCCAGGGGTCTGAACACTCATCCCCCACCACCACTTATGGGTTGTCTGGTTGTTTATAGGTTGTTTGAGCATTGAGGTCAGCCATTATTTGTGCAAAGTTTTTCACCTGATAATATTATCTGCAACCCACTTGTCCTTTCAGGTGGATTTGTTGATACATATCCTTCTGTATCAAAAATGTGAAGTTTTCAAAGTATTCTCCATAAGCTACCACATTTTTTATCATATATTGCAGTGGGTGGCTTGCTAGCAGCAGCTGGACTTTATTTTATTTTATTTTTATTTTTATTTTATTTTATTTTCATTCATAAGTGTAATACTATAATAAAAATGGAAATATAAAAGATGTAAACATAATAAAAGACTATAATACCATAATGGAGGTTAAAAGCTCATCATTCCATCATTCCATCATCAGTCTTCAGTGGCTTCAGGCTTCCAAATTACTTTCTTTATTCAGCTGGCCAAGGATTCAGTTAACCAAGTAGTTATGCCAGAGGAAGATAAGAAGAGGCTGTCAGAATTGCTGAAAGATACTGAAGATGAGAGCAGTGAACTTCAAGTAACTCAGGTACACAGATATTCATCCAGGTTGATCCAAAACAGTAGTGTGTACTCTCCATTTCAGAGGATTAGTGCAGTGCTGGATTCTTCTTTGGTTTTCAGTGGTGGCATAAAATTTTACATGGAGTGGAACCTTGCATCTGTGTGGATGCTTATTGGTAACATGAAAGCACTACTGCTTTGCCCGAGTGTACACTGACATTTTCTGAGTACTGGGTAGTGAGAGTTAAAAAGTGATTTGTTTGTTTGGTTTTTTTGCTACAAAAGTGGCTACAAGAAGAAAGTAATTTTCTTTATCTTACTTGTACATAAGTACCTAATATATTGGGACTTGTCTCCTCTTTGCTTTATAATGAAATTTAAAATAATTAGTATTTTCCCAAGCACTCTTAGGAATAAGAGCCTCTAGCCTGCCAGTAATCAGCATTCTTTTGGTGACCTTGCAAAACCGTTCTCAAAACTTGTGGACCTCTTATGGTCGGCCTGTTTGTCGGCACCCAAGCGGCGATGCAGCGTGCCTCTGAACAGGTGCAGAGTGCATCTCCTCCAACCCCCTTGCTGCTGAGCAGTACCAGTACCTTCTTTCCCTAGAAAAAAAGCACTGCCCCTATCCTTTATGCAAGTTATGTATAATCAGTATTTTTATGAAAAGTTATGAGATGTTACTTGATGAACTAAAATTTTAACACACATGGTTTCGTATCAGATCTGCATTTATTTGTGCTGAGGAGAATCTTTTTCTCTTAAAAATAACATGGCAGCGTTTTTTCGGTCCTAGTTTATATGCCCAGATAGTGTGGCTAATTCGTTATTCCTTTTTCTAGGAAGAAGCAACTACAATGCTAGCACCAGGTGAAGGTTACACACCTGAGCCATTGGAATACCATCACCTCACTGAAATCAATGCCAAACTCAAACTAGTAATCTCTGATGGAAATTTATCTGCCGATCAGAACTCCTGTTCAATAGTCTCTAAACAGATTTATCAGGTACAGTGCAACTTGGAATATACCTTTAAATGCTCACTAGCCATTGCTTAACATGGGAATTTGGAGATGCTTTAATTCTAGTAAATTGCTTCCTGTTTTCCTTGAATCCCTGTCAGCTTATCCTTCTTGAGCCAATCTAAGATATATTGAACCCATTACATTCCCAATTGGGACATGCAGTCAGACCCAGCTGTGTTCCGAATGTTTGTGAGACTCCCAAACTAATTCCATCCCACCCACTGTTCTGAAACTCCTCTTGCTACCACCCATCTATCTGCATATTCACCTTGCTGTTTGGGCTGAAGTGAAGGACGGATCTTTCTGCTCCTTCCCCAGTGCCTGATGCTGCTATGGCAGGAGCACTGAGAAATGCTGTAAGGGGCACTGGTCATTGCTGTAACTGAGGGGAGATACCTCTATTCTGCTGCTGCTGCTGCTGCTGCTGCTACTACAGCAAGGTCAGCAGAGTGGTAAAGGCAGACCATTGAGTGAAAGGAAGGAGATTAAAATCTGAGCAGCAGAAGAATTCAAGAGGTTGAAATGCTTATCTCACAGTTGCTGAGGTTTGTATTCTTATCATAGAAATTGTGATGGTTGGTGACATTTATTCTCAGTTCCTTGTACCAAACCTAGTACGAGCACAGCTGCAGGCTTCCAGTAAGTTAGTTTTAGTTCACCTGAAGCTGTGCATGTAGTGTTAAACAAAGATTTAGCGTTTTGTGTGAACCAGCCCTATAGCAGTGCACTGGGTCATATTTGGAAACCAATGCTCTGCACTTAGCTCCCATGCCTATATTTCTCACTGCAAGCTATTGAGCTCTGGAGCATCTATGCAATGTTTATGTAAAATTATGCTCTCCTTGTAATATAACAGAAAACTGTTTTTGTGAAACCATCAAGGTCAGTAAGACTTCTGAGGGAGTATAAAATGAACAAAAGGTTAATGCAAACTTCTAGGGTGCTTGACTTTCACACACTATCATCATTTGGCAGAAAAACAGCAGAACAATAATCAAAGGAAGTTTCCTCATATTATTCTAATGTCTTGGAATAGGCCTGAAAGCAAGAGCCTAATTCTGCTGTGCTCCCAGGGAGCCTGTGGACCTCAAAGCTGTCACTGGCCCAGGACTGATTATTATCCTTCCTGGGCATTGAGCCAGATCAGTTTTATGGGAAAATGCCTTATTTTTAGAGAAACAGGAGACATTAGTTTAGACGGCTAATTAAAGGAACGCAGTTCAGAGTAGACTTCAAATGACAGAATAGGAGGTATTTGCAATAATGTGTTTAGGATTGTCAGAGCTGTAGTCCATCATAGCTTATGTGTGTGTTCATATCATTATGCGCAATCAAACTATATTTTTGCACAGTGAAATACAATGTTGTCATTAGATACATCAGTGCAAACTATGTTTTCTGGTGAAACAGGTAGGTTGCAGAAGAAGTAAACATTTGCCAGCAATCTTTAAACATTAGCCAATCTTTTTAGCATAAATTACTGTCCATAGATTGCGTGTGTTGAATGCTTTTGCTGCTCAGAACTAGTGATGGAAAATACATTTGCTGTAGGAGTACAGACAAGGCCATTATCAGAGGAAAAGCCACACTGGCTGGATGCAGCTTCACTTTTCTTTGTCATGATGGTCTCACCATCTTATTTTCTCTCTCTGCTTATTTTTGTATTTGTGGTTATCCCTGCCAACTGAAGATAACATTTCATGCAAAGTGAAGGCAGAAGCTTAAGCTCATGCCGTAATAAATTGGTTAGCCTTTAAAGTGCCACAAGGCTCTTGTTTTTACTGCAACAGAGTTTATGTAGCTGGCACTCTGGAACATATGCTCAGGGAATATGCCACCAAATACAAAGGAGGAGAGGGTCCTTGTCTTTCAGGAGTTGTGTAGAAAAGGGAATTAGAGCATGTGCAGCTTTTTATAAAAGGATGAGAGCCAGTGTGGTGTAGTGGTTAAGAGCGGTAGTCACGTAATCTGGGGAACCGGGTTCGTGTCTCCGCTCCTCCACATGCAGCTGCTGGGTGACCTTGGGCCAGTCACATTTCTCTGAAGTCTCTCAGCCCCACTCACCTCACAGAGTGTTTGTTGTGGGGGAGGAAGGGAAAGGAGATTGTTAGCCGCTTTGAGACTCCTGAAGGGGAGTGAAAGGCGGGATATCAAATCCAAACTCCTCCTCTTCTTCTTCTTTTAGAAATCCAGTCTTTCTAAACAAATGTGAAAGGTGCAGAATCCCTCTTTTCTTTTGCACCTGACAATCTGGTTTTTTTTAACTGTCAGAAATAGTATCTTTATTCTGATAACTAGCTTTTATATAGCTGTGCCAACTTTGTGTAGAAGCCTTCATCCATCTTAATTAACTGCAATAAGAATACTTTACTGTTGTAGAGTGTTCTTTTATTGGTCTTCATATTTTAAACCTTTCTTTGCTGCATTGGGAATATTGGCCTAAAAGTATCATGGAAACAATCTTTAACGAACACCTTGCACAATACCTTGATATCTCAGGATGGCATTGGCAAGGATAATTGGAGAATCTTAAGTATGGAACTCCTCAACCATGGAGAGAGGAATAGGAAGAAGATGGGAGTGAAAAAATCGGCAGCTCAATCTTGAAATTTCTAGCACTGCCTCCACTTAACTGTTGTTACTGGACAACTTGTGAAATGGTGCGATACTCCCAGTGTTTTGTTTCCTGGCAAGCATTTATCAAGGAGCAGAGAGAAATACTATCTTATGACTAAGGGCCAGTGCATACATTCCAAAGAATCGGAATGCAGACTCATTTTGGATATTGTTTTAACAGGAAAGTGGCTAAGAAATATTTAAAATAAATTGAGAAAGAATTGGTGCAAGTGACTTGTACTCCTTTACCTGCTTCTTTGTAATGTTAAGGCCGACCTAAAGCACCCTACTACAGGCAGGTGTTGTTGTTTTTTTAAAAAGAAGGATCATCCTTGAGCAAAACAGGGTTGTTTTCACACTTCCTCCTTAGCTCTCTCATATTATTTTTCATATCTTCTTCATTATTTTTCTTCACAGTGAATTTTCTCATTTCTGTGCAGCACTCTGCACTCATATTTCCTCTCTTGTTAACTGGTTTATGTGATGCACCTTCTCAGATCCTTCCTTGCAATGCCTTCCTTTGCATCTAACACAAACTAGTTGCATTTACTTTCAAAGTTCTTCATAGCCTTGCCCTACTCTGTCTTTCTGACCTTATTTCCCAGAAGTCTCCTGTTCCCTTAAACTACCTTGCTCAATTATTGCTGCCCTTAATAGTTTGAAACTTGGAGAATGCGTACATGATGCCGCTTCTCATTCTCTCTTGAAATGCTTCTTCAAAACCATCCTTTACTGTGAAGCCAATTCCTCACTGAAATAAAGCGTATGTGCTGCAGTTGCACACAATAATCAGTTAACCTCTGTTTCCACACTTCCTTCTGTTTTCTTGCTTACTGTCAACATTTTAAGCTTCTTGGCAGATACCTGTCTCCATGTTACTCTGTAAAGCATTGTACGGTGGTACCTCAGGTTAAGTACTTAATTTGTTCCAGAGGTCCGTACTTAACCTGAAACTGTTCTTAACCTGAAGCACCACTTTAGCTAATGGGGCCTCCTGCTGCTGCTGCGCCACCGGAGCACGATTTCTGTTCTCATCCTGAAGCAAAGTTCTTAACCCGAGGTACTATTTCTGGGTTAGCGGGGTCTGTAACCTGAAGCGTATGTAACCTAAAGCGTATGTAACCCGAGGTACCACTGTATATAGTGATGCTACTAAAAATAGCAGTCAATTTTAATTGATTTTAGTAGTAGTAGTGTGGAACAACTTTGGACCCAAAACAAAATGTTGCAGTATACCCTGCCTCCCCATTCCCAGTAGCAGCTATTCTATTCAGAGTACTAGTCAGCCAGCCACACCTACTTCTGGGAGGTATTCAACTAAACAGTTATGCTAGCATGACTTTTAGCTGTGCAATGTAGCCCCCTACCCCAATCTATTCTGAAGCACTGTGCTATCATAACTATCATAGGAACTAAAGCAGGCCAATTCACGCTCTGCCCTGTTTTCTAGCTTTCTCTTCCAGCTAACGCTCAGGATCGTGTGACCTCTGGGCATCTCACTGAGCATAATTTAGCCTCATGGGTATTTTTTGGGGGTGGGTGGGGTCCCCGTTTGGTGAGCCCCTCAACCTTTTTGTTGTACTTCTGCAAAACTGAGGATCTCTCAAGCATGCCTGTTTTTCAGTGGCCCTATTTTGCTTTGATATCGGTTGGTACAAGGAAGTAGTAATAGTTCTGATGTTTACTAAGCTCATTTTCTGCTCAGTTGTGGTCCAAACCTAAAATGCAATTTTCTATATAATTTATGCTGCATATGAAACCCGTGACTAGTTACCTACCAAGCAAAACGAGTGCATGGCAGCTTACACCTAGCATGTATCAGACTGAGATGCAACACCTATAAAGTGCATAATTGGGCCAATTGTTTCAGTTGACTTCCTTCAAAACTAGTTTGTTGTGGTTGGTCCCCCCCTAAAGATTTGGCGAGTAATCTGAAATAGTTGTAGACTTAACCATCTGTTTGTATTTCCACTTAGCCGGAATGAACTTCAGTTATTTATTCTCATGTTATTTGCTCCAGATTTTTGTCTGCCAAGGACTGTGTTTAATGATAATTTCAAAGCAAATTCCCAAGCTAATGTTTCATTATGTGCAAAAATGTAATCATCAACAGCTTAGAGATTTGGTTCCTACCACTTGTTACTATATTTGAAGAATATAGGAATTCTATATTTGTGTGTCCTTAATCCTTAACAAATGGTTTTAATAAGTTTGTATAGGAGTATTTCATCTTGGCTGTTACAGGAAAGTTGGATCCACAACTCTTTTCCATGATTGTATTGTTTTTCATTTAGGAAATTGGCGTAATCAAAGCCTTCTTTCTCTCTCAAGCATTTCCCCCCCGTATGCCAGATTTAATTAAATCATTATAGTTATGCTTGTCTCTTAATTTGGTTTAATTATTTATTTAGTTTGAGCTCTTAAGTATTAGCTCAGTTGAATTCCTTTCTTTTTTTAAGGAGAAAGGTTATGCACAATAGAATTGCGGACTTAGGAGTTCTGTTTCAATGCTAAGGAGTGCCCTATACTTGGCAGTGCAGAGTGTCTTGGATGACTGGCACTGCTGTGGAAGGACGAGTAATCTGTGATGCAGAATCCCTTCATGAAGATGGTTTCCATTCTTAACAGAAGGAAGTTGAAGGTTAGGTTAAGCCTCTCTATTCCTGTGGATGCCTGTGGAAGCCAGGCTTTCAAATACCCTGCATTGTGCTTTGGCTGAGCACACCTGTTCCCAGCAGGGGAACAGGCATGCATAGACAAAGCAGTGGGATCTAACCCCCACTCCCTAGCTGATGAGGAGGGATTAAAAGCCCTCATCAGTTGATGAACAGGGGTGAAATCCTACTCCTTTGGCTGCATGTACCAGCTCCCAGCAGGGGAACTGGCATGCACTACCAACACAAAATTAAACCCTGCCCCCTGCCCATTAGCTGATGTCACCCTCCCATCAGAGTGCTGTCAGTTGATTGGCAGGTGGCCATATTTTATTTTATTTTTTTAATGCCTTGCAGGCCAAATTTTACCTCCTGGCAGGCCAAGATTTGGTCTGAGGGTTGGAGGTTTCACATTTCATGTATGTTATTGATTTTTCTATCCCCTGACCCCCCCCCCAATAGTCGATTTATATTTCCTTCTTCCAATAATTAACATGCTCACTTTTCATTGGGTTGTTTTGGTCCTCCACCCCTGTCCCCCATTTTATGTCCTTCACCCTATTATTATTATTATTATTATTATTATTAATTTTCTGCAAACATTGGTATTTCTCCAAGCTTGCTGATACTGTCTCTTGTATCTAGGTGGTGTTGATCTGGCAACATAAGGATACTCAGATAATGAATTTGCTACTAATGTATATGATGATATATAATACTGTATTACAATGTATGTGTTTTATAGTACTATAATAGGCATGCCAGTGTTTAGGGTTTATCTTAAAATATGATTCAAAAATCTGGTGCTCATCTTTTCAAGCTGCATGTACTACTACAGTGGTACCTCGGGTTACAGACGCTTCAGCTTACAGACGCTTCAGCTTACAGACTCTGCTAACCCAGAAATAGTATCTTGGGTTAAGAACTTAGCTTCAGGATGAGAACAGAAATGGTGTGGTGGCAGCGGGAGGCCCCATTAGCTAAAGTGGTGTCTCAGGTTAAGAACAGTTTCAGGTTAAGAATGGACCTCTGGAACGAATTAAGTTCTTAACCTGAGTTACCACTGTACTGATAAATGCTATTGTGAAACCCATCCCTTTGTTAACAGAGAGTGGGTACACCAGGAAATGTTCTTGATTGGTATTATAGTTTTATCTAAATGTCTTTTTTTTTTTAAACAACATTAAAACAACCTGTGTGTGTGATTAATCAGTGCTTTCAGATGCCATCATGCTACATTTGACTGGAGGGCGGTTGAGCTAAACCTTTTGGCATGACATTTGGCTCTTAGAAAAACTGCCATTACTGGCATTGCCACATGGTTTGCATTACAGTAGTAGATGTTAGATGTTAACAAGCAGATTAAAATAAGGATTTAAAAGGAACTACATAGAGCTAATGCCAGCTCTGTGCAACCAGACAGCTATCTGTAAGTCTGAGCTTTTCCACATGATAAAATGGGTGCCCCGACTGCATTTAACGATTAGTGTGCTACTCTCACAGGCTTGTATCTTGTGCCAGAAGAGTGATATCATGTCTGTGAGTAATGGGTAGGAGAGAGTCTGGTGGTGGTGGGAATAGTCACAATGCTGTCCACAATTTATTTTATAGGGTCTGGATGAATAGTGGATCTCCACAACCTGAAAATAAATAAAATATTTAAGTAAATTTTCTGAAATGGCTGTTCAATGCATGATAAGGCTTGCTGCTATTGGAACTTAAAAAGTGTTTTAATACTCTACAATGATGCATGGCGAGGAAGCCCTGAGTCTTTAATTACATCCCATAGGTGCCTATGGCACTTGTGTAATCACAATTTGCACCATAATTACTATAACAGTGGTTGCATTTTCCCAGATAAACAAAATATAGTGCAACCAAAGCTTAGAAAATGTGACACCTATCAAACAGAAGAGCAAGCTCAAAAACATTGGGTAACAGCTTAGTTTTTTCTCTCCTTGTGCTTTCTGTCCAGTTTTATTTTCCATCACTGTATGGTATCCTTAAACGAAAGCCCAGATGTCTGCGAACAGAGTAGCCATGCTCAACTGAATCCAGTTAGACTTAATTCTTACTAGGCTTGCATAGGATCAGGTTGTGCAGAAGTACTTTTAAGGGCAGAATTCTGCTTGGATCAAAAGGTGTCTAGTTTGAACAGAAAGACACTTCTGCTTGCTGAAGGGGACATGTGAATTTTGGCAATTCCCTCCATCTACAGATGACATCCTACATTCCACTCCATTTCTGAGGGTCCTCCAGTATTTAGGCTTGGCCATCTGCAGTTCTTAGGATGTAGGCTATTATATATGCATTTATTTTTAGCAGAAGGCATTTGCAGGGCTGACTGATTAGTTAGATAAGCAAGTATTTGTTTTGACAAAGGAATGGTGGCTCCCTAGAGGTTTGTGGAAAGCAGTGACCTCACTGGCATATCTGTTGACAGAGCCTTTACTTGTGCTACAGAGAAAAGTCTACCAACGGCTTCTATTCTGTTGTTCATTAAATCTAGCCACTTTTAATTCCAGTTGATATTTTGGCTTAACATACACTATATTTTGGGGAAGAAGTTTGCTTTATGTCATAAGTATGTGGCTTTAATTAAAATCTGGACGGTTTTATTTTGGCAATTTTTAAAAAGACATCTCGTTTCTTATTATGTGTAGCCAAATGTAACTTTTTGATCATTCATATTTGCCAAATATTAACTCAGTTGCTTTAGGCTCAGTAAGTAAGTGATGTCATAGCAGCAAGTGAGCAGGGTGGAAAATAAGAAGCTGGACTTTGTAGAAACTTTCATTCCAGTGGTGAATAATACTATCCTTTGTCTCTTCTTCCTGTTTCCATTCCTGATCATCTAACAGATAAAAATAAGTTGATTTTCTCATGCTATATAATATATTGAAAAGATTTAAATTAAATTGGTGGTTTGTATGCAGCATGTAGTACAGATGATATTAAATGCAGGAATGCTCATAGAAGTTGAAAGCCCATTGTTAAAAGTAAACCTTTGTCTAGTGCAGAGGTTTTCAACCATTTTGGGTCCATGGCTCCCTTGACCAACTACATTCTTTCTGCTGCACCCCTGTGGGGCTCAGGAGCCCAGTTAGGTCACCCCTTTGCCTGCAGAGCCGGCAGCCCCATTCCCCTTTTCAAACACCCTTCCTTGGGGATTGTTCCCTCAGCCTCCTCTCCTCTCCCCTCTCCTTGGGAGTCCACAGCTGCTGCCCCTGGTCTCTGACCTGCCCCCCTGCCCCAAAGAGGGATGCCTCCTCACACTGGCCCCCAGAGGCCTGGGAAGCACCCCCTGGCCAGCCCCAGAGGCACCATTCACACACAATCAGCTGTGCAAGCCTTTGGGAGCATCAGAGGGAGGAGGGAAGGAAAGAGGGACAGAGGCCAGTATTGTCTGTGGCACCCCTGAGCATCATTCAAGGCACCCCAGGGTGCCACGGCACACTGGTTGAAAACCACTGGTATAGTGTATTAAACAATATTCTATAGTAAATGACCAGCAGTTTATCAATATGTTATTTTCATTAGGAATTTTTGTTACTCTTCCAGATAACCTAACATGCCTACATTCAGCTTTAATTGTCAGAGAATTGCTACATGGAAGATATTACATGTGGGGATTTTACCTGTTTAACATACAGTGTATCAATTGTAGCATGATTAATCCTTCATGCATGTATATCATTATAGGTACACATGCAATAGGGAGCCTTTGTTACAGAAAAGGTTTCCCTACTAAAGTGTTTTCATTTAAGAAATGTCGTAACATTTCTGTTTCTCCTCTGGAAAACAGTGAAAACGAACAGTTCCTGAATTTATATTCTGGCTGTCTAATTCTGCTTTTCAGTATGCAAAGCCTATGAAGAGCCTAGGTGTAGATAGAAGTGTCTATTGGTGATCTATTGGGGGTATGATAGAGTCCTCACCCCCTTCTTCAGATACGTTAAATTTTCCTACGTAAGAATCACAACTAGAGAAAGACTATCAGGTGGGGTATTATTATCTGAGGATGGAAACATGGTTCACATGCCCTATCTTTCTGAAGGTCTTATTGATAGCTATATTTGGAGTTTCCCCATAGGCCAAATTTACCTTTGTAAATTTTCCCTTTTACAGGAATACATAACACAACTCATTTGTTTGAGCCCAGCTGTCTATGTTTTATTAAGCATATTATTCAGCTCAATAGTCACTACTACAATCTACTGTTGATGACATCCTATAATCTGTCTGATACAGATTAATCTGTAAGCGACATTTAGCATGGAGGGGGCCCTAGTAGATTGGTCTAGATGGTCTCCCTTTCTTTTTCAGCTTTACATGTCAATGATTCCATTATTATTTGCTTCTGTTAGGATTCTTTGGCTTATGCAAATAGAAAGCTGGAAACAATTCCAGGTGAAAAGGTTTTAAGAGACACGAAAGAAGAACGAGATCAGCATAACCGGCTTAAGGAGATTGACCAGCAGCTGAAAAACCTGGAAGGGACTGTAAGTCTTCTAAAGTTTCCTAGTTTGCTAAAGTCAGTAGATACCAAGAATAAGAAGAGAATGACAAAAGGTTTCATTTTGTGTTCTTGGTAATATTATTCTGTGTTACAAAATAGATAAATAACAGTGATGCTTCTCAATTACAATATCTGTATAAAGATCAAGTGCTTTCTCACTGCTTATATAAACTGGTGGGATTTTACATAACTTGCGTTATGTTCATATAAAATAAGTGCAGGTTGAATTATATTATACCATGAAGTCTAATGCTAAAAGACAGCTTTCCAAATAAACAGAGAAATCATTCCTCTATTTCCCTTGTTCACGGTGTGCTGATGCTGACGTAGCCAAATGGCACCACCCACCCACAAGAGGCAGGCTCAGGGGAACCCCAAAGTTTGCATAGGTACAAATAAAAACAAAATAAGGGCAAATAAAAGGGGGGGGGAGAGGCAAAAAAAAAAGAAAAAAGAGAGCCACCTCAAAAGTGGAAACCAGACTGCGCATGTTTGTGCTTGATCACTTTCCACCTTTCTTGGAGGGCACATTGGGGGGGGGGGGAGTAACAGCACATGCAATATATATTCTAAATGCTTCTTTGACTTCATCTCTGTCCTCGCCTGCTGTCAAAAAATTAATCAAACCGCTTCCTCATGGCTGCTTCACCAATTGCAATCGTGTGAGTTTTCAATAATAGCTGCCATAACAATTGTGCAAGGAAGGGGCTGTGAGGGAAAAAGCAGGCCAGAGGACCACCAATTTGCCACTTATAATGCCCCCATGCCCCCATCACTTATTGACCCTTTAAAAGGAGAGGAACAGGATTTTTTTTTTGTTACTACTCCCTTAGGGAAGATGTTTTATGGAGCTTAGAGCTGTAGTAGCCTTAGGTTTGTGCGTTTGCACATTAGGCAGACTGAAGATGTGCATTCTACCAATGGTTCCGCTCCCTGTATAAAAATAACTGCAACTAAACCAACCAATCCCGCGTGGTGCAAACCTGCACAGCAATAAAAGAGGTTTACAATGCAATTCTGTACATGTGTACTTAGAAGTAAGCCCCACTGAATTCAAAGGGACTTAGTCCCAGGTAAGAATGAATATGATTGCAGACTTAGCCTTCAAGGGCTCCCTCACTCCTCCAGCGTGGATGAAGCCTGTTGGTAGAAACACCTTGTCCTGCCCCAAAGAAACATTATGTAGCAAGGTATCACTAGTATGTTTTAAATGCTTTAATATCCTTTTCTTCTCAGCAGAAAGTAGTGAACTGAAACATTGCCTCCCTTCCATAGTTTAACAGCGGTGTAGTATTGCACCTGCATTCTGTGCTTCATTTAAACATTTCTTGAAGCACTAAAAGAGACGAGGCTAATCAAACCTTCCCCTACACATATGTGCAAATTTTGTTTCTTTACTACTCCAATAGTCAGTTTTAATTTAGTTCAAATAATTTCAGACAAATTGCCTTTTCATATTCCTAGTAAGTAGATTTTATGATCCATATGAACCTGGTTCCTCTTCTGATGCAGTATTTCCCTCCCACAACCCATGCTTTTGCCTAGAACAATTCCTGTGAAGGCACAGATGCAGAAAATATGTTGGAGCTGAAAATCCATGTGGATATTCTACCAAAAAATATATGATTCAACACACAGAGTTCTCAAGAAGAGCTAATCCGGAAATGTTGTAAATATGATGGAAACATATTTCAAATGCTTTCTTGTTAGTAGTTCCACAGTGTATCTGATGAAATAGGCTTCAATCTATGAAAGCAAAGGTTTTAATAAAAATTAGACTTGTAACATGCTACAAGACTTGTCACTTGCAGGCCCCACGACTAAGATGCCTCTTCACTTAAATGACTGTCCTTGTCAATGGAATGATGGTGTTAAAATAACGTACGTCAGTTTTATAGCTTCATTTTAATAAGTTAGTTGGTAAGCTGCTAAAGAAAATAAACTCAGTCTACAACATCCCTTTCTGTCATTGACCTTTGCCTTTTGGTCACTGACCCTTGCTATTTATGGGAATACAAGTCTGGACGGGGATCTGCAGTTTGGTGGCTGGGTCTACAATAAGCAATGACTTTGGAATGCACTGGGCTACTGGTTCATTAAAATACAATGAATGTTAACAGGTCAGTTCCGAGGTCTGATTAGTACAAAACAGTTCCTTGGAATCTGCTATGGTATATACCCCCTCTTGTGCATACCAGACATTTTTTCTCTTAAGAGGATGCCCACAAGACCTTACAGGGGCAGAAACTATTCTTCACTTATTAAATGGTAAATGAATAAGCCACCTGTACTAATGCATAACCCCTTGTCAGGTTGGCATTTATTTGTATTGTGAGAAAAGGGGATAAATTGCAGGATCAACCAGATGGAAAGTCAGTCGCAACCTGTAGGGCTCTAATGCACATCCACCAACATTGCACAGATGAAAATGCTTGTAAAAGCCATTTCTCATTTGGCCTGGTTTTCACCTTCTGATCAGCTCTGTACATGTTACTGAAGGTTTGATTCCTTTTTCCGTATGCTGTATTAATTTATTGTTAGCTTTAATGCTCTTTTATACAGCTAATATGGTGTTTGATCTTTATATTAAATAAGTGCTACAAAAACATAATTGTTCTAAAACTTATTATCAACAGTTCAGAATGACCTGCTGGATGCACAAAAATGTGTGGTAATACGATTAAGTAAGTCCTATCTTACTATAAGGGACGCGGGTGGCGCTGTGGGTAAAAGCCTCAGCGCCTAGGGCTTGCCGATCGAAAGGTCGGCGGTTCGAATCCCCGCGGCGGGGTGCGCTCCCGTTGCTCGGTCCCAGCGCCTGCCAACCTAGCAGTTCGAAAACACCCCCGGGTGCAAGTAGATAAATAGGGACCGCTTTCTAGCGGGAAGGTAAACGGCGTTTCTATGTGCGGCTCTGGCTCGCCAGAGCAGCGATGTCACGCTGGCCACGTGACCTGGAAGTGTCTTCGGACAGCGCTGGCCCCCGGCCTCTTGAGTGAGATGGGCGCACAACCCTAGAGTCTGTCAAGACTGGCCCGTACGGGCAGGGGTACCTTTACCTTTACCTTTTATCTTACTATAATAATGCAACCTATTTAATAGTATTCAAACAGAGCACCTGTGGGATTGACTTTTTTTTTTCCTTTATATTGGATGTGGCTTTATTTTTCTTGCTGTCCCCCCCAAATTAGTCTTCCTAGTGTGCAAAACCTTAAGGCTATTCATTACAAAACTTAAATGTTCACATACCTTAATGTTCATGCAGCTAGAGTTACATAGTTAGAAACAAGATGCATCCACTATCCACCCCGATATGTAACTTCTAGAGATAATGGCGAAGGGGTTTAACCCTGAAGATTGGCAGCCCTAGCAATTCACGCTAACAGCATTTTAATAAAGCAAAATAGGAATAGTGATTTAGCAAGGAGAGTTACTGGAAAATAATGGCTCTCTCTGATAAATAGAGATAGAATACATGGAAGTGCAGGATACGGTGGCAGAATCCATTGGTTAGATCTGGGGTGGACAAGCACTTTGGTCCAGAGGGACGCATGCGACAATAGTTGGTGGGTCAGGGGCTTAAAATATAATTGGCTTCTAAGGGCTTGTTGCTGAACATGGTTGAAAAGGAATTTCCTTACAAAGAATGTCTAAAAAATTTAAATACCGAAACTACTCTGGAAATTGTTACAAATATTTTAATTGGGTCACTCAGGTCAGCTGAACTGAAATGGCTGAACTGACCTTGCCTTGCAGGGTTAGGTCCATGGGGCTGTGCCTGCAACATTAAGTCCACCAACTGAAACCAGCCCTACACTATTTATTTTAAGAAATGTTATAAATGGCTTCATCAAAAAACCTAAGTGGTATACCCAAACATAAAAGAATTATCAATAAAATACAGAAGAAACCAACAGAGTTTTAAAAACAAGTATATATGACTGAATTATGTATCTGGGTAGGCTTGCTAAAATAAAGTTTTTTTGCAGGTGCCTAAAATTGCATAATAAAGGTGCCTGCTTAATGTTAAAGACAGGGAGTTCCAAAGCAGAGCTGCTGCCAAAGATCGATTCTTCACAGATGTGAAGCAAACATTATATGGCAGATTGAAGGAGGCAAATTGGCACATATGATGCAAGGTGATCCCTCAAGTAAACTTGTGCAAAGCTGTTAAGGGTTTATATATTACTATAATAACACACTGAACTTGGCCCGGTAACTAATAGGCAGCCTGTGCTGATATTTAATCGGAGGTATAGTATGCTGACAGGAGCTCACTCCTGTCAGTAATCATGCTACCACATTCTACTACACAATTGGAGCTACTAAGATTCTAACAGTGAAATCATATCAAGAAGAAAGTTACACTATATTAACTACATTTTCGTGTGCTTATCTTGTATTTTTATTCTGTGAACTGCCCTGAGATCTACAGATGAAGGGCAGTGCATAAATTGGAAAAAATGAAATAAATATTCAGTGGGGGTTACTCCCAAGTAAGTGTAAGGGAGGAACACCAAGCCCATGAGATGACTTGCCTAAGGCTGTCAGAGCCTCCATAGATTCCTTAAGTCCAAACCACGCCTCAAGCTATTCAGAAAGCAAGAAATACTCAAGTAAATGCAGAACAGATAACTCAAAGGAAGTCCAGCCACAGTCATACACACATGTGGGACATAGTATGCAGTGCATATTGGTGCACATGCAGGTAACAGCCACAACTGACAATAGATGTGATACAGCAAACACACAGCAAACGCTCTCTTTCCCTATCCTGGTGTAACTTACCCATGCTAACCACCACCTCTGCTGTGCTGCAGCCAACTTTCATTACCAAGCAGCCACATCAGCAGCAGCTCTGCACAGCTTCAACTTCCTCAGCTGCCCAGAGCTTGAAAGCAACCCCATTGTGGCCCGCTAGTCTGCTAATTGTGAGTCGATGACCTGAACCCATGGGGTGGTAAATAAGAGACAAGGACACAA